AGCGCACACGGAGATCAACAGGTAGCCAGCGCAGCTCGCGGAGGATAGGTGTTATGTGGGTGAACCGAGGTGCACCCACGATCACTCACATGGCCGCATTCTGGACTAACAGATTCCAGACAAGCAGTTGTCCGGGCTGAATCACAGCTTACGGGGTGCTGTGTAACTTATTACGCAAGTTTACACACCTGAACGTTGCTCAGATTGCCAAACATTGCGTTAAATGTGACCATTCCTTAGTGGTAGACCCTCTTCTTTTCAACTAGAAACTTCTAAGATTCCCTGGAAGGACCAAGAAAGGCCTTCTGTTGGAACCTCAAGGTGAGAGCCATTGCCAGTCAATGTGAGTGATACGGAATTCATGAGCCTTATAGGTCACTAGAAGGCAATCTTGAAGGTGCCCAGCAGAATAGCCACCAGTACCAAGATACGCCTATCCAGATCTTTCAAGAACTAGGTTGTGTGCCCTGCCTGGCATTTTAAAAAGTGATTTGCCACAGAGCAAAGGGCCAGTTCCAAGCGTGGCTTATATTTTCCAACGGTTGCAGTAGGTTTGAAGGGTGCCCGCCTGTCCTCCCAAAAGCAGAGAGGAGCTTAGATAGGAGCACCTAGGAGGCAGTGACCATCCGCCACCTTATCAATCTGTCTTCATTCTATGGGGGTTCCCATCCCGTTTTGGGGAACCTGAAGCTGAACATTTCAGAATTTCCGGCAGGTCCCCCAAAGATGGAAGGTTTCTGGCTGTGTGGAACTCGGTTGCCTTGTTCTCTGATCTGATGTGTGTGTCTTCTCCTGCTCCTGCCTCAGATCTACAAGGGACCAGATACTTTCTACCGCGTCTCCAACGTGCAAACAAACTGTGAATACCGATTCAGGGTGTGCGCTGGGCGCCAGCATCAGGACTCCACTGGATGGCAGGAACTCTTTGGCCCGTACAGCCCAAGCACCGCCTTCTCATCTCAAAAGCAGGAGCTGCTTTCTCCGTCTTCGGAGCCGGCTCCGGAGCTCCTGAAAAGCAAGCGGAAGCCCCTCAGCGACGAACAGTTTGCGTTCCTGCTCCTTGTCATCTTCGCCACGGTTGCCATTTTGTTTGCCGTTATCATTCAGTACTTTGTGATCAAGTAAGTCACGAGAAGCGACTTCATCACTCAGCTTATAATTTTTCATATGGAAGTTTTACGCCTTGGGTATTTATGTAAATTCCAATTAAAATGCTAGCTGGGAATGATGGAATTAAAAAAAAGACACCCATTTCCAATTTTTTTGCTGCTGAGTAACAGGTTGGATGGACAGGATGCCTTCCCCCCTCCTCTCCTCCCCGTCACCACCTTCCCCCTTCAGGAGGTGGGGGGGCGAAGCAACCCGGGGGGAGAGGAGGAAGGGCAGAACTGACGCGAAGAACATCCCTAGGACAGCACGGTGGTGCATCTTCTGATCAGGGTTAGCTGTTGAAAACAGCAAAAAAAACAAAAAAATGCTGCCTTAATTCTCAAGAGTTTTGACTTAATTTTCACAGTAAGTCCTGAATTCTCAAGCCCAGAGAGAAGGGGGGCAGGGGGGTGGCAGGAGACGAGCCCTGGCATTTGGGGACCATGAGATGTAGCAGCAAAGATGCTTACGACGCTTAAAAAAACCGACAGTCCTGTATTCTAGGATGCAGCAGGAAGAAACCAGCTCAGATATGCTGTAGATAAAAAAAAATCCCTACTCAAATGACTTTTAGAGATAGCGCAATGTTAATTTTTCCAGTTCTTTTAACGGGGGAATGTGTGTCTGTGTGTTGGGGGGATGGGACACACTCTCCCTTCTAGGGTAGCAGCTGTGAGCTTTTTGAGTTTTTAAATCTACGGAGTCCAAGGTGTCCAATTCACCCGGACGCAGAGAGATTTGCGTTGGTCTTGAAATGTGGCGAGAGGGCCTCCCTTTCCCCCCACCCAACTTCCGGAAATGTCCCATTTCTGATCGAGATGCTTTCTCTCTCTCGTTGGTTTAAAAAAATTAAAAGAAACTCCAAACGGTTGGCCCAACTCAACATCTCCTCTCTGTGCCTGAGAGACTTAAGAAACACCCTGTGCTTCTGACTTTAAAGAGAGAGAAAAAAAATAAAACCACTGCAGCGTTGGTTTTCTTTGTTTTCCAAGGGGAAAAAAAAGCACAGCATTTTTTTTGTCTTTAATGAGAACAAAAAAAAAAGTGCATTTATGATAAATGTTTCACTATTTGGCTCAAACTGAGCAAAAATGTTTTTTGTACTATTCTTAACATGGAATTAAAAAAGTCGACTCTCTGGGGGATTTTTTTTTTTTTTTAGTTGTGTTTCTCGGGGCCGTCTTCTAACGTCATCCGCTTGATTAAGTCATGTGTGAAAATTACTTCCCCCTCCTCCTTTCTCTCCCTTCCCCCCCCCCCCAAAAAAAAGGTTAGGTCTTAAGTTTTAACATAATTGTCACCTCTTCCATAGCAGTTCCGTGTTCCACTGTTTGGTCTTGTGAGATTCCCAGTCTTTTCCTTTTGTGATGGAAATTTCAATAACATCTCACAGCTTCGGGTTCACTCAAGTTTTCTTTTCATTTATTTTGGGTGGGTTGGCAAGGGTGGGAGGGCGAATATCATGCACTACAGAGGAACTGTTCTGTGTAAGGCCTCTGCAGCAAATACCTGTAAAATAAAAGTAATTAAACATTGTCTTTACAGTCATGCTACTTTGAAAGCTTGGAAACCATCCATTTTGTTCTTTGGAAGAAGAAACTGAAGAGAGAGAGAGAAAGAGGGAGGGAGAGAGAGAGAGGGAGAGAGAGAGAGAAGATTAGGCATTTTGTTGAGTTTTCCATATTGATAGGGACCGAAAAGTTCCACCTTACAAAACATCCGAATGCTTTGTACTTGTATATGGGAAAGTGGACGTAACTTGTAAAACTCATGTTTAGCTTGAAACATGTCTGTTTCCAAAACAACACAACTGGCTTGTTAGTTCATCATGATAGCTTATGGTTTGTGGCATTGTGTTTGCATTTAACACCTGGGGGAAAACACACACTCTCACACAACTACACACACACATGCACACACGTAAATGATATCATATCACTATCTTTAAAGTAGATTTATGGTGCAATCTGAAATTTTATCTTTTTTCCCCTCCATAAAATGTACTCTCCTCTTTTATGTGATCTATTTATTTTGATTTAAAAAGAAATTCTGGAAAAAAAATGTATGTTTGAATGTATTGTTCTACTTGTAGCAGAACTTTTTAAGTTAATCATTTGTTGTAATGGAAGCCTCTGCTCAGTGTTGAAAAGAGTTTTATACAAATGTTTGTGTCTTTAGTTTGCAGGAATGTTTACAACCTGTTCTCCTTCATTTCGTTTCATACTTCACTTTTTTATAAAATAAAATAGATTTGTCTTCGGCAGATTTTTGTTGCGAAAGTAACAAACAAAGACAAAAATAGAGATGTGGGGAGAGAAATCTCACCGAATTGGCAGCAGTGTGAGAAATACATTTTTTTAAAAAAATTAGATTTTCTGAATAAAATACTAACCAAAATTATGACTTCCTAGAAAGTTAAATCTTTAATTTGTATTTGTAATTGCCACAAAATGTTTATTATATTTCCAGGAAGTTTACTGGAAAGCATAATGTAGAATTTTATATTTACAGCTATACATTCCAGATTTGATGTACCTAGTGGCATTAATGTATTAGGTCTCCTTTTTCTCTTGTATTGTAATTTTTGCCGTATTTCATACTTATGTTAAACCTGCCAGGCATCGTATTACTAAATTGTAACTATCAAATAGATAATATATTTAATATGGCCAATAAAAATAAAATAAAAATGTTCACATTTGGGGTTGTGAAGTGACTGTGTCGCACCTATCACACCTACATAACAGACAGTGCACAACCAGGGTCACCAAATTTGGCAACTTTCAAAGTTGTGCACTTCAACTCCCAGAATTCTAGGAGTTTCTTAAAGTTGCCAAGTTTGGAGAGTTGTGGTGTACAGAAATTGGCCAGAAAAGCAGAACAAACACTTTCAAAATCCCACTTTGTTTCTTTTTCAACACCATCCACAAAGAACAACATCTTATGCTTTTCATTTTCACATGGGTGACATAAAGAGAGATCCTTGAACCTTGAACTATGGTGGTGCAGTGGTTAGAGTGCAGTACTACAGGTTACTTCTGCTGGCTGACTTGACTTCCCACCGAAGGTGGTCCCTATTTTTCTACTTGCATTTTTTTACGTGCTTTCAAGCTGCTAGGTTGCCAGAAGCTGGGACAAGTAATGGGAGCTCACTCCGTTATGCGGTCTAGGGATTCGAACCACCGAAATGCTGACCTTTCTGATCGACAAGCTCAGCGTCTTAGCCACTGAGCCACTGTGTCCCTTAGCTAAATTATTAATGCAGCTTAAATAGAAAACGATCTTTAAATTTTTACTCCAAAAGCATTTTATTAACATTTGATTTTTTTAAAAAAAAGATTTAAATTTAAAAAAATAAGATTAAATTTTTTAAATTTGTTTTTTTTAACTTTTTTTTTATTTTAAAAAGTGTCAATTTTTACCCATCCTGGTTAAAAAGAAAAATATTCCACCATTATCCTTTAGAATTAACATGGCATCCGAAGAGCTTTAAAGAAAAATCATACAGCACTCTAATATTATTTAACTACTATTACCATCAAATCAGGCCTTGAATTAACATTCTTTTAGGAAGGATGTTCTAATGTATGTCTAAGCTAAAAAGATGTTCTTCCGAATTATTTGACTTCAAGGCATTTTTTTAAAAATTTATAAGGACCTACCTGTCTCTAGTGTCTCATTAAACAGACAACAAATTTTATGGCCCTTCTAAATAGTCTGTAGCCATTTCAAGCTGATCAGACTGCATTAGACCCAAAAAGAGACACAAGAAGTATTATCAGATATTTCTTTATTCAATTCATTTGCTGCTTGTCTTGTTTCAAAGTGACTCTTTTGGAATGCCTAACCAGCTTCTCTAAGCCACGCTGCCTGCGTGAGCTAGGAACGGAGGTATTCAGCCGGTTCAGGCGAACTGGTAGTGGCGAGAATCAATTCGCCCCGCCCACCCGCTCCTGCCCTATCCTGTCCTATATTTCCGTCTTTCTGGCTGAGCTGATTTGCACGGCTGAGCTGATTTCCACGCCTCCGCTGTTCTACTTACCGGGGCTGCCTTAGAAGGTAAGCAGCTGAGCTTCAAATTGCTGTAGTTTGAACACTGCACGCAAGCGTGTTAAGCGTGTGCGCGCGCTCACCGAACCTGGTTGCATCCCACCTCTGGCTAGGAAAGAGAAGTGCCATGCAAGAGCTGTGAAATTTTTAAAAAATGCATCTGATTTTTTTTTTTTTTGTATCCTTTATTGTAAAACCAACTGGGTAAGCCAGCTGGCCGGCGAGTGCTAGTCTCAAAAGTGAGCAAAAGTCAAATTGGCATCAATTCTCTGAACCGCTGATGTCTCCCTTCTCTTCCTTGGCTTCCACTAAACTGCTCTCGTCGATGTTCTCCAGCGAGGAGGCATGTTGGAGGGACAGTTCGGACAGGGGCATTGTGGGGAGAAGGCTCTGCTCGGGATGCAACCATGGTTTTTTGCCTGCGTTGTGTTGCTGCTTCCAGGAAGGATACTTCAGACAAGCTTTGTACATTTTCTTCATAAGCTGAAGCATGGGATGAGAAGGGAAAAGAACCTGGGTTAAGATCTACATCAATCTATCATCTATCTATCATCTATCAATCAATCAGTCAGTCAGTCTGTCTGTCTGTCTATCTATCATCTATCTATCTATCTATCTATCTATCTATCTATCTATCTATCTATCTATCTATCATCTATCTATCTATCTATCTATCTAT